AAATCAGAATACTCCAGAAAGAGGATGGATTGGTGACGGGACGATTCCCGCCATAACGTATACCGAACTGTCTAAACCACCCCTCCCTAAACGCCCATCTTTCCCTTCCAGAGCCTCGTCGGAGCAAGCAGTGTCAGGGTTACGCAACGCCATAATGGAACAAGAGTCAGCCTCTTCGTCGACGAGACCACCCTTACTGCCGCCTTACGGCGCATCTACCCCGAGAAGGAAATCCTCTAGGTCACCTAGCCCTGAAAAGCATACTATGAGAACAACACTGCGATCAAGCAAGCCGGAAAAGCATTCGAAGTCATCCCGGCATACACCATCCAGGCTGACAAAGGGCCCTGGGGCCAGCAAGGCAGCCACCTTGGCTTGGAGTAGTCTTGAAAGGGGAACCTACGCAGACGCCGCTAGTTCCCCGTCAAAACTGTCCGAGACACAACGATCCGCGGATCAGGTACGAAAAAGCTCCACGTCAACTCCGAGACAGTGGGATAGCCATACACGGAGACTGGTGGTTTCTCCTGAAGCCTCTGCACATATGGGTCTCCGTGCTAGCTCTGAATCTTCAATGCAGAACTCGGGTGATTACGCAACTGCTACTCCGTCCTCTCTTGCTCTAGGTGCTGCTTCAAGCGCTCTAGGGGCGGTAGCTCTTCAAGACCGACCTGATCCCAGTCCTACAACAACCCGAATAGAACGGAGGGCAATGTCTAGAAACGAATCTAGTAGTTCCACCATCCGGATTCCGACGCTCCGAGACACTACCCCTAGAGTAAACTCCAAGGATAGCTTGGTAAGGAGAAGACCTGTCGACCGTGGTAGAGCGGCTGAGCCCAATAGCGCAAGAAAGCGAGTGGGCCCGCCGGCGTCTGATAACGATGGAACAGGGGAAGTATCCTCTAGCGAAGACGAAGTGAGGGAAAACTCATCTACACGAAAACACAAAGGCAAGCAGCGAGGATCGGTCGTGACATCTGACGCCGAAGACCGTTCACCAGTGAGCTCAGCTACCGAGGGAGAGAAGAAGGCGAAAGACGAATGGGAAAAAAGGAAAAAGACAATAATGAAATCCCTGCCGCCGGGCATAGACGAGGCGGCTGCGAAAGCAATATTTAACGAGATAGTGGTGCAAGGCGACGAAGTGCATTGGAGTGATGTTGCTGGTCTGGAGATAGCGAAAAACGCACTGAGAGAAGCTGTGGTATATCCATTCCTACGTCCCGATTTATTCATGGGCCTCCGCGAACCCGCTCGGGGCATGCTGCTCTTTGGACCTCCCGGGACGGGCAAGACGATGCTCGCCCGCGCCGTTGCCACGGAATCCAAATCCACCTTCTTTTCCATATCCGCGAGCAGCTTGACCAGCAAATACCTTGGCGAATCCGAAAAGCTCGTGCGTGCATTATTTGCATTGGCGAAGATGATGGCACCAAGCATCATATTTGTCGATGAGATAGACTCGCTCCTCTCTCAGCGGTCTGGAAACGGAGAACACGAAGCAACTAGGAGAATCAAGACGGAATTCCTCATTCAGTGGAGCGACTTACAACGAGCTGCGGCAGGACGGGAAAGCACCGGCGGCACGAATAAGGAGCGAGGCGATCCAAACCGAGTACTTGTACTAGCAGCCACCAACTTACCGTGGGCGATCGATGAAGCAGCGCGGCGAAGATTCGTGAGGCGCCAGTATATCCCCTTACCCGAGGCGGAGACGAGAGCTACTCAATTGAAGACATTGCTTGGCCAACAGAAACATAACCTTACAGACACCGACATCGCCGAATTGGTGGATATAACAGACGGTAAGCATACAGCAGATCGTACGTATGGATATATAACACTGTGCTGATCTATCTATCCAGGCTTCTCTGGTTCTGATATCACCGCGCTAGCTAAAGACGCAGCAATGGGCCCCCTCCGCGCACTAGGCGAGGCCCTCCTCCACATGACAATGGATCAGATTCGGCCCATAGAACTCGGTGATTTCAAGGCCAGTCTTCGCACAATCCGGCCAAGTGTGAGCAAGGAAGGACTGAAGGAATACGAGGACTGGGCAAGGAAGTTTGGAGAGCGCGGCGGATGAAACCTTTATGGCCAGAGCACCCAACTAGGCTTGACTCGACATAGTGAAAGAATGAGGTGGAAGAATAGGTGGGATGGATACGGTGTTCAGGAGATCAGAAAGCTGCGGGTTGGCATACGATACCAAGGGCGCGACATCCATTCAATATGAGTTTGTTGATGCATAACCCTTCCTACGTACGGTCTGAGCCGTGCGGGTTCGTATTTGTACATAGTTTACACGCAGGTGGTTTGGTATATACAGGTTGCCTTGCCGTACAATACCGCGTGTTCCATCGTCTTCCATGATCGATAAACCACGTGCGGAAACGAGCTGGCTATTCGTGTCCCATTCCTAGGACAGGTTTATTCCTGGCAGACACGTCCCTTCAGTCAACATCATCCAGTGTCGTAGGTTGCGCTTTCGAAGCCTGTTGGGCATTCATGGCTCTTTCCGCTTTCAGCGCCTTGCTCGCTTTCAGAGCTGCCACTTCTTCTGCCCTAATCCTGGCCTGCTCTTCCTTGATGGCAGCTCTCCGCTCGTCTTTGGCAGCTCTCTTAGCAGCTCTCTCGGCTATCCTCTCTTCTAATGTCGGGATAGGCGGGCGCTCGTCAATACCCTCGCCGTGTGGTGCTATGATGTGCTTGACGACATGGCGAACGTGTTGCGATACTCTCCAGCTCGGCGTTATGGCGACCACATCACCTTGCCGGACGGAGTTGCAGGGGTCATGGACTAATTTGAACCGTGGCTCTTTGAACCACTAGACGGACAATTAGCTTCGATCTTCACCATTGAAGTTGTCTAGGAGGCTCGACTAACCTTCTGTACTCTTGGCTCCCATCTTAGCCCTCCTAGCCTCACCTTCACGGTCTTGTCCATTAGGCCAGCCGATACCACGATTCCATGCATCTCCTTGGCTGTCCGTCGCACGGCATTGGCGGCGGCTGCCGCGACTTCAGAGGCCATCTTTCGTACTTCCCCTCGTGGGTTTCCAATTTGTTGGGTTCTCACAGCCCACGGTTGATTCTTCCTAGTTTCCTTTGCGGGTTGGGGATTGGCTGTGTCTGTGTGCTATGTTTCTCGGAATAGATACGCTTGATTCTGCCAAAAATTCAGAGGCCCAATAAGTTCACGATCCATTCTATTGGTTGGTTAGCTATTGGCTATCGATAGAGGATCCACCCTGCATCCAACGCTGTGACAGAGGGAAAAATGGTTCGGCCGGCACTAGAATAGCAATGCGGGTCCATTTGTACTTTAAAATGACAGCCACAGCCCAACTTCAGCTGAAAGCTCCAGGGCTTGTAAGAGTGCGACGGAAATCGTCAATTTCTATCACTGATACGCATGTATAGGTTGGGTATATTACCACGTTAGATGCCAGATTATCTAATAAGTCGTAGCCTCTTTTCTCCACCCTTCTACATATGGGTACAATCCAGGGGCTTCAAGATGATATCAATGAAAACGGAATTCCTATTTCACATCCTAGATAGAAAAATCACCTTGGTGTTAGTTCGTCCAGGAGTCGATATTTGATGACTAGGTATAAACAAAGCGGGAAAGTGCGCTATCCTTTGGCTTTGATCTACTTTGATCTACCTGAGGCGCGTAGCTGCCCCAATATTCTAATAGTCTGATCAGTCTAGCTATGAGGACAACACAGTAAGCGGTTTGAAGCCACAGTTCCGGATCGTATGTCGATCGACAGGTAAGGGAAAGGGACTTGAAAAGGTTATCAAACTTGCTAGAATTATAATCCTACATATGCAGAATCTAGACGATACCACCATGTCCATAAACACCTACCCAGACCAAGGAGGATCGACAACATCTAAGTCGCAATACCGGACGCTATCCTCTGCTATATACAAATCCATCATGGTGGTCGAGTTGCACTGGTGGCTCGAGTGCTTTCGTCAACACGAACCCACTCGTACTCGCGCGATATAGCAGCAGTGCTGGGACGCCCCCAGGCAGTTGGCCATACTATACTGTTTGGCAGTTCAACGATGCATACCAATATGGTGGTGATTCGGGCACCTTCAATGGCGATAGTATGTGATTCCAGCAATGAGTTCCTTCTTATCCATCGTCTCGATGCCTAACTCTGTCCAATACTCAACGACAGGTGGACTGATTTGCGATGTGGTAGTTGCCGGGCTGAAAAAGCTAGCTATAGGTTAACCCGTTGGTCGCGTTAAACTGGACACAGGTATACAGCGACTGGGTATTGCTATATTATATCTAACATATATGAAATCTAAGCCTTGGGGTTACCATTTGTGTAGCAACAAATTGGACTTTCACGTCTATTCATTTTTGTTCTATGCTAGGATTCTATCAAGTATAATAGGGGAACCAACATAGGAAGTGCATCATTGATTTGATATTCGACATGCTAACATTTCCAATAATATACTTAATATACTTACTTCACTGTGGTATCTCGTACTGTCGAGTAGATGTCTGCTTGGACAAGTGTTGGCGCTCTGTCATGACGTTAACAGAACATCCATTCACTTGATATATTAGAATACATACAAGGGACAACCTTTGATTTGATAATTAAGTTACCCATATGATACTTTCGTTACAAGTTTGTGCAATGAAAGATAATAAGACATGCTGGCTTAGACACTCGGTGCTCGGTAGGTAGTAACGATACCATGAGCCTCAATATATATTATAGGGAGCATGTAGGAGCAACAAAGGGCTGAAGCAATGTAGAGGCACTCTTTACGAAAATTTTGGTGAACAACTCCCCATGATGGCAGTACCTTCCCTACAGTGTCATCCTACCAAACATGCAAGAGGGTTTTGAGGCCCTGTTTCTACGGCAATGGGTTGAAAACCCGTAAGGGTACATACATATCAAAATATGGTTACGCCGTTAACAACAATCGAAGTGGTGCCTTACAGCAAAAGAGGTGCCTTAGAGAAGTGGTTTAACTCACTCCCTTTGGGCTATAAACTCTGGGAGAGATCGGGGGTTCGAATCCCCCAGGCACCCATTTTTTTTATTCTTTCTTTTTCGTCTCGTCTTGCTCCTACTTTCCAATTGACTACGGCCCCAAAACTCATTCGTTATAACCTCTTAGTATCCTTATGTAATTTGATGTCTTATTGCAATTTTTAATCGAGTATTCTTGCTGTCCGGTGTTGGTTATATCAACCGCGCGATATATTAGATATGGCAGCTGGTGCTATTACTTTATAGGTACGCAGACTTATGACTGCTATCATGCAGCGTGTCTAATTACACAGTCCTGAAATCACACATATATGAGGTCGCTAGCTTGTCACCCTCCTGCTACAATAAAAGCGTTACGTTACTCGTGAATAACTTGATATTCCAAGTACGACAACCCCCCCCCCCCCCCCCCCTTAGATTCTAGCTACTATTTCAATTACTTAAGCAAGTCATTCAGGATAGTAAATATAATATAGTTTTTAAAATGGGACTGGGAACAAGGTTACGCCTAAATATCATATAAGAAAAAGGGGCATGAACTATGATTGTATTTAGCTATAGCCTTAGCGCTATCTATGTTCTTTGACATATTACCACTATATATGAGTATTGTTAACTGCCTATATAATCAGGCTTCATAGATTCTATAAGAGAAACGATGAATTCTTCTATGCAACATATAGTTACCAAGACAAGCAACAATATTGAGTTGCTAGATCTGGTTCACATATTTAAGGAACAGTATTGGAGATTTCAAGTGTGCATGAACTGCCGTGTAACGAACCCAAATATCATGAGATAGCCTAGGGTATGAATTGGTGGTAAGACGGCGTTCTGACGTGGAGACCACATGATGTGCCACCCGGTTGGGGAAAACCTCACATTTAACTAGGCTCCTTAGGGGCTAGGCCATTCTAGACGCATACCGCTTGGGGAATATATATCGGACAGTTTTTCTTTTTGCGCGTGGCCTTGACCGAGTCAGCTGTTACTCTGGGTAGACCTTGAAAAGATCCTTCTGGTTCTGGGGAAGAAAGACGTGGCGTCGATCCTTCAGTTATATGGGTTTCGGAATATCTAAACTAGGAACGGATATTAGAGATCTCTCGGCTGTGTCGGCTATGTCATATACTCGGTTGAATCTAATTGCAAAAGAATAGACGATGACTTCCACACCGAGTAACGACAGAGGCCTGTGGTGACGGGGTTCGCATTACTAGCGGATGACTGCAGATATCGTTGGCCCGGTGAGTTTCTCCGAAGCCTTCGCCCCCTTTTCACAGGAGCCGGGGCCTGGCCCAGCTGAGTAAGATTAATCGCTCCTTCAATTCATTCATTCCTTCTAGGTCCTCCCCATTTATGATGAGAGTGCTTTGAGAAGCAACTTCTCCTGTTGTATAGTACAAATGTAGAAGATGCTATGAGGTTCTCTGTCGTGTATGAATGACATAGTCGACGAAGTTCTACTGCAACGGGGAGAGATTTACGGCTCGGAAGCGGTGGAGAAATGATGGGACCATATATTTTGTGGAACCAATCCCGTGCGGCCGGTGACATTTTCCATAAGTTAGGTACCTAATCCTGCGCCGGACAGTAGTAGAGTAACATACAGGACGGGTGATAGCGGTATTGGTGGGGTAGAGGGGCTCTCCGAGAAAAATGTAGTTAAAAAAAAATAACCCTCTTTTTTTCACACCGACACTTTGAACACCCGTCTACCATTTCTTCACTTCACACTTCAATCCTCCGTCCGACCCGACATAGTCAGCATCATTACCTACTCAAGATTCAAGACGGGTGTTCTTCAGCTACACCGCCATTGAATACTAATTGGCTGCGCCCTGCTTCTTTACTAACACAGGAAAGACTTCAATTGTCGAATCCCCTCGGTCCCCTAAATCGCAAACCTCGTTACTCCGGAAGTCAACAATGCCTACAACTGCAGAATATCGTTCTGGGAAACGGCCTCGTAAGTTGGAGAATTGCTTTTTCATCCCTTTCTAACAAAGAGAGACACAAAATACCCTTCGGCTGCTCCACCTATCGCACATAGGTAGCTCCGAGCTGGTCCCCTATAGCCGCACGCCTTGCGCTTTGCGACTTACACACACCTCTTTCGAACACACTAGGTTATAGCAAACCTCTATAACCCAGCACGAAACATATCCAGCCTCTGAAAACCCTCGCGTCGCTGTCTTATCCCGTCTCATTCCCATTTTGTCTTTACCATACTAGTATCTAGTCTAACAGCAATGGCTCCTCCCACAGGTACCCAGTCATTACCTCCTCCAGCTCTCCCTCAGCTCGTCGCCGAACAACACGTGCCCATTGCCTCCAACGACAAGGACAGCCAAAGGCTAATTGTCGTCTTGTCCAATGCGAGCCTCGAGACCTATAAGGCATCCCACGGCGGCGTTGGTCGCGCGGGTATGCATCGTGAAGACAAGTACTCGCTACTCAACAGCGACGAGCACATTGGTGTCATGCGGAAGATGAACCGAGACATTAGCGATGCCCGGCCGGACATTACACATCAGGTACGCCGAGTATCATATGACGATCCATGTGCTCTTCAACAAGTCAACTTGTTTGGGTTGGCATTCAACATGCTGACGGTGTAACCAACTGACGTAGTGCCTCCTCACTCTTCTGGATTCGCCCATCAACAAGGCGGGCAGGCTACAGATATACATACAGACAGCTAAGGGCGTCCTCATCGAGGTGTCGCCAACTGTCCGTATCCCCCGAACCTTCAAGCGCTTTGCCGGTCTCATGGTTCAACTTCTCCACCGATTGTCTATTCGCTCGACCAACTCGCAAGAAAAACTGCTGCGAGTCATCCAGAATCCCATCACAGACCATCTACCACCTGACTGCCGGAAAATCACCCTGAGCTTTGATGAGCAGACGGTGCGCGTACGAGACTATATACAAGCACTCGGACCGAAGGAGAGCATATGTGTCTTCGTTGGTGCCATGGCTAAGGGGCCCGACAACTTCGCCGACGAGTACGTGGACGAGAAGATCTCGATCAGCCAGTACAGTCTCTCAGCCAGCGTTGCCTGCAGCAAGTTCTGCCATGCTGCTGAAGATGCTTGGGATATCCTATAGAGACGATCCTTGAAGGTCAACCCCCCTCCAGATGTAAGAATGAGGAAGACGAGGGGAGGGTAGGTAGCGGTGCTAGCTATGAATGATGAAAGGGGTATTGACTTGCGGAATCCGCTATACAACATTGCGGTCGACGCAGGCTTGCCCAGAGCTTGGGTCTTCGGTTTTTGTTCTGTCTCTGTTTTTACAACCAAAACACCAGGCGTTCAACATGAGATCCAAGACGTTTTCGCCGTCTTGGTGGGCCACTTCAACTTGGCCCACTGGCCCCTCTTCCTTTTCCCTTTCTTATATTTCCCCATCCTATTCACGCTGCCTCCCCCTTAATTTGATATTAGGTATCGCGCCAGCCATGGTCCAACCATTGACAGCCAAGGCCCGTGTCGTTGACGTACGGGCCGCTTACCACTGGGAGACATGGCCTGGGTGAGAAATAGATCCGATCTAGGCGACATGGCGATATGTCGGCGATGCTAGACAGCATTGTTCCGATATGTAGTGTTACCTACGAAATGGATCTTAAGGTGTGGAGTTAGAGCGAGATATATGGACATCTACTGTCGAACATCGCCTATCAGACGACACGACGATTCTTGGTGTTGAAAGTGAGCACGGTGGAGTCAACACTTCTGTATGGACGGATATCGTCTCACAACCTAACCGACCTACGGCCGGGCATCGCATCCCTTCGCCTTTCGGTGCCCGACTACGAACCAAGCTTACACTCAGGTGTAAGGTGAAGGTATATGTGTGGATCTGTGTTTGCAGGTGTCTACGACAGACGGTATGCCGTGTGTTTGGTCACACGAGACCTCTTCGATCTCGGTCAGCAAAGCGAGCCAGAATTGTAGAAGAGAGATATATAACCTAGTGTAGGCATTTTATTCAGCACTACATTAAGCAGAAGTGAACTGGTCTCTTTGACTTGCTGGCTCTCTTGGCTTGAGACTCCGCAGACTCCGCACATGTGCGATGCCTGTATAGAGGTACATATTCCAATACGTGTAATACGTGTAAGCGTGATTGACCATCGAAAAAGCGGGTTGTGGAGAAGCCGCACGAAGTACCCGTTGAAGTATCGAAATACCATTGGAGCAAATCATCCTACTTGGGCTGGCGGAAATGGCGGCCACTTTTCCTCTCTTCCATATAAGTATTCTTGCGCGTATTCCACGTATCCCAATTCCACACCAACTGCATGTTTTCATTCCCCTTGACCAAGGTGGACCAAGTGAGCTGCCCAATCAATCGCTCGTATCGAGATGCTTTTTACACGCAAAAGCCCCATAGGTCGGGTGGGATCCCTCTGTCGAATCGAACTCGCGTACGAGATGTTCCAGAAAACACGCAACGCAGCGTTAGGGCATGAATGGCATGAATCCAACGTGGCAGCAGGCCACCCAGAACCGACTTGAAAGACTTTTTGCGACCTAGCGCGAATTTCGATTTGAGGACGGGTTGCGCAAATGACCGGTCTGTCATCTGCACTGCATCACCACCATGAGGGCTATAGTCTATGGGTTCGAACGAATTCTCATCTATCAAGGATGGTTGAGCTGGGTACACTTTACATGCCAACATGGACGGCCGTGAACCATGGGCCACCATATATACCCAAGTGCTGTGGGACGTTCTCTTGTTCCTGCGAATCTCCACCGGGTTGCTTGCCGCTCAACCTATTGCACTACACGTGTATCGACGAGGGAGACGGGCGCAACTAGACCAAGTTGGGTACCTATCCCCAGTTGCGTAGAATCGACGGGACGGACCCTTTCCGGAAATTCGTCAATACAGATCAGAGATGCCTCCTGCATCAGTACCTAACTATGGCCTCTTTAGGAGAAGTTCGTCCATTGGCGGTCAACGTCTGAAGACCCCTTTAAAGGTTCTAGACCAGCGCTGCTCCTTGTATGTCTTATTCTCAAAAG